CTGTTATCCTAAGTGAACTAACTCAGAAACAGAAAATCAAATACCACATGTTCTCACTTATAAGTAGGAGCTAAACAATGGGTATACATGGACACACAAATGGAAATAACAGACAATGGGGACTCCACAAAGGGGAAGAATGGGAGATGTGTGAACACAGAAAAATTACCTGCTGAGTACTATATTCCCTATTTGGGTGATGGGTATACTAGAAGCCTAATCCTCACCATTATGCAATATACGCATTAACAAACATGCACATGTACCCCCGATTTTAAGACAAAATTTTTTTTAGATGCACAAAGGACTTGAACAGACATTTCTTCAAGGAAGATATACAAATGGCCGGTAAACATATGAAAAGATGTTCTATCATTAGTCATCAGAAAAACAAAAATCAAAACCACAATGAGATACTTCTTCACATATAACTGTTGCCCTATAGTGTTCAGCTTAAATATAATAGCCAAGATTCTTAGTGAACTTTAAGATGCTTGACATTAAATAATAAAAATTAATGGCTACATAAATAAAAACAAGAGTTAACAAATGATGTGGAAAAATTGGAATTACTATACACTGCTGGTAGGCAAGTAAAATAGTATCATTTTGGAAAACACTCTGGCAGTTCCTCAGATGGTTAAATAAAGAGTTACCATATGATCCAGCAATTCCACTCCCAGTATAAAACTGAAAGAACTGAAAGCTTATGTCCACACAAAACGTATACGTTTTTATATATTATTCATTAATAGTCAAAAAGTAGAAACCCAAATGTCTGCCAACTGATCAATGGATAAATAAAATGTGGCATACCCATAAAATACAGTATTATTTGCCAATAAAAAGGAATGAAATGCTGACACATGCTACAACATGGATGAACCTTGCAAACATTATGCTAAGTGAAAGAGGGAAGTCACAAAATGTCACATATTATAATTCTGTTTATAATATGAAATGTCCTAAACAGGCAAATCCATAGAAACAGAAAATAGATTAGTGGTAGTCTGGGGATAGAGAGGGGGTGGAAGGAATAGCTAAAGCATACAGGGATTTTTTTGTTTTTTTGAGGTGAACATGTTCTCAGTTGATTATGGTAATGGCTATACAATATATTAAAAGCCACTGATTTGTACATTTTATGTAAGTAAACTGTATGGTATGTGAATTATATCTCAATAAAGTTGATAACAAAAAAATTAAAGGAGCTCTACTCTGATTGGTTTATAGACACCAGGTAAAAAAACTTCTAATAGTTTGAACATACTATCTTTTAAAAATATACAAGACATACCTCTACCCTGGGAAACAAAACAAAACAAAACAAAACAAAAACCCCATAATTTCCTAAGAATTGCTAGCTGAAAACCAGAGATTGTTTAAAAAGGTTTAAGAAGCCAAGTGTCAAGGGATCAAGATTATTCCTTAAATAAATCAGACTGGTTTAATCATTTTGGTTTAAATGTAGCTATATATCTTCTTCCTGATTTTATCAGTGCAAAATTTTGAAATTATAAAGACTATACAATTATGCGTTAAACCAAATTGAATTATAGTTCTGCCAAACTTTTTGATATCAAAAATAACTGTGTTGCTCTATAGTATGTCAACTTAAATATAATAACCAAGATTCTTAGTTAACTTTAAAATGTGGATAATAAGAAAAATTAATGAATAATCCTTGGACACTAGGATGATTTCTAAGATAAAACACTAAAAGCATTGATTCTTAAGCAGAATATTAACATACAGTCATTATTTACTACGTATGCCTTGTTATTTTTATGTTAGAGAATAGCTATACCTTTGGATTATGTAAAAAAAAATTCATCTTCGTCTCTTTTATAAGGGCATGAAAGGAATGTGAATGGCTACTGGGGGGGGCATAGTATCACATGAACTTGAGAGGTTTACTCCTCTGTTAAAATGTTTATGTATGACAGTTCTCAAGTACCTACCTCCCGCATGTTTGTGGTTAAAAATTATAATTAAGCCGGGCTCGGTGGCTCAGCCTGTAATCCCGCGCTTTGGGAGGCTAAGGTAAGTGGACTGACTGAGCCCGCGGGTTCAAGACCCGCCTGGGCAACTTGGCGAGACCTCATCTCTACAACAAATCAAAAATTAGCCAGGCATGGTAGCGCGCGCCTGTAGTTACAGCTACTTGGAAGGCTGAGGCGGAAGGATCGCCGGAGCCCAGCAGGTCAAGGCTGTGGTGGCCGGGAGCGGCCACTGCACTCCAGTCTGGGCAACAGAGTGAGACTCCAACTCAAAAAAAAAATTATAATTAATATAAGTAGTAGAGACTATCCAGGAATAATCATAAAAGAGATGTAAAAATGTGCTTTTGCTATCAAAAAAATAAGATAACTGTTTTTGTCTTTAAAAAACGAGTTGTTTCAAAATGTAAAAATGATACATATGAAAGACATCTCAGTTTTGGTGGGTTTGTTTTCAATTGATTGATTGATCTTGGGTAAATATATATAAAAACATTCCAATGAGCAGAAATTACAAATTACAAGCTACAATGAAAATGAAATGCATATAAAAATGAGGATGTACATTAAGCAGGTAATAAAAGAATTATATGGTGATTGTGGGAGTCCAGCCCTCAACTATCAGAACAAGACACCAAGAAATATTTTCATAGTATGATGTATCACAAAATGACAAAATAAGCATATTACTCAAAATATGAAGGTAAGTATCAGAAATATCAAGTTAATAGTTAAAAATATATTGACTTTGATGAGAGGGATGGGGCAGTTGGGGTGGGAATATAGATTTAAAAAATAGGTTGTTGTTTTTCAATATAAGTTTTTTTAACACCGTGATTTTAAAATCTGTAAATGTATAACTTTAATGAAAATTAAATTAACTATTAAAAAAATAAAAAAGATAGCCAGGCGTGGTAACACACACCTGAAACCCCAGCATTTTGGGAGGTTAGGGTGGGAGAACTGCTTGTGTCCAGGAGTTCAAGACAAGTCTAGGCAATACAGCGAGATCTCATCTCTACAAAAAATAAAAAAATTAGCCAGATGTGGTGGTACGTGCCTATAGTCCCAGCTTCTCAGGAGGCTGAGGTGGAAGGATCACCTGAGCCCAGAAGGTCAAGGCTGTGGTGAGCTGTGATCGTGCCACTGCATTCCAGCCTGGGCGACAGAGTGAGACCCCAACTCAAAAAAGTAAGTACGTACGTACGTAAATAAATAAATAAAACAAAATAAAAAAGGAATAAACAGAGACTGTAAGGTCAAGGTGAGATAGAAAAGAGAATGAATTAGCAAGTTGGTAGGAAGGAAAAGTGATAAGAGAGACAGAGAAAAAAATAAAATAGTTAAGGGCAGCTGAGATCAACTGATGGCTGGCAAAGAGTAAAGATTTACAAACTGCTGCCTAGATTCTGAGAGCTTTGTTAAATCCAGAATTCTTTCTCATTGGAGGCATGGTTTTTAAAAAAATTTCCAACAGTAACTTCATAGGCAAAAATAACTACTTCTAGGGCTCCAACTATTACCTTCTACGTGAATCAATTCCACGTCCATACTTTCTGACTGTTTTATAGCTTTCTTCTGAGCTTCCTATTTGATCTTCTCATTGATGAACCTACTCAGTGGATATTATTTACAGAAATGTTCTAGCTCCTACATTAAACAGTAAGTCTCCAAATAAACCCACATATTTTTCTAAACTAGGCAGCACCTAGCAGACTACTTGTACAAATTAAAAAGTCAAACGTATTCAGAAGACTTCCCATTAAAAATGTTAATTCTCCACAAACTGATATATAGATTGACTTCAAGCTCAATCAAAATGTTGTTTTTATGAGAATATTAATAAGCTAATTCTAAAATTTAAACAAAAATACAAAGGACTAAAGAAGCAGGAAAACTAGCTCTACTAGAAAATATTTATTACATGCTTTTTATTGCATTTATTAATATAGTGTGGTAATGGCACAAAGGTAGACAAGCCAAGGGAACAGAATAAAATCCAGAGACAGACTCACAGACACAGGATAATTTATGGCAAAAGTGGCCTGCCCTAAAGAGCATGCAAAAAAGACAGTCATTTCAGTAAACACTGATGAGTCAATTAGATATTGACATGAAAATGAAATTTGATCCCTATCTCACAGTGTATACACATGTAAACTTCTAGGAAATGTAGATCTAAATGTAAAAGGTAAAACAATAAGGCTCCTAGAACATAACATAGAACTAACATCAGATAAATGCAACCCCATGGATGTATGACATACTAAAACATAACGTTCAACAGAAAAAGCCAAAGGCAAAAAACTGAATACTGTATGACTGTATCTATATAAAGTTCAAAAACAGGCAAAACTAATCCATGGTGCTAGAAGTCAGGATGGTGCTTATTTGGTGGGAGGAAAAAGAGGCTAGTGATTGGGAGGGGGCAGAGAAGAGGTTCTAAGGTGTTAGTAATGTTCTATTTTTTGTCCCGGGTGGTGGTTACATAGATGCATCACTTCACATAATTCATGCTATAGAGTCATAATCACATAGTTTTCTGTATGTGTGTTATACTTCAATTTTTTAAAAGAAGTAAAAATAATCAAATGTTTGATAAATGAAAGAATGAACTGTTAAATCCAGGACAAACTGGTCAAAGAGGTTAAATAACTGGAAAGTAGATAAAATGAAAACAAGCACAGGGAAAGAAAATGAAAAAGGAAACACAAACACACAGATTTACATGTATACATTTCTTAGGGTGAGAAGATCTTCTGTTATACAAGCATAAATACAGCATATCCAAAGAAGGAATGAAATCTAAATTATAGGCAGAATAATTGCTTTGAAAGGAAGAGAGAAAGTACTTGCTATATTGGGCTGTGAGGAAAGCATAAGAGGAAAAAAGCAGACTAGCTCATATGGAAAAGGACTTGGGCCTTTGAAGGAAGCTTCCTGATAAAATCTCAGAGGTGCCATGATGCTCTGTTCCAGTCCTATCATCTTCTTACTTACCTGAACACAAGCCTCTGGTCAGTTCTCTGTTAACCATCCAGGGCTCTTTTCCTTGTTCCAATAAGGAGATCACAGCTGGCTTAGAATTGGAAAGTCCTGCTCACAAGAAAAGACATGGGACATAGTTATGCTGTGGGTGTCCCAAAAATCAGATCCAGTTCCTTGGTGATCAAGGAAGAGATGCCACTACAGGAAAAACCAGAGAAAGATGGAGAAGATGAAGCTTCAGCCTCAGCTCATCGGAGCTGCCCATTTCCAACTCTTCCATTCCATTCCAACTCAAACCATTCCTTGGGGAACAGGGAGCAGAAAGTCAGCTGGTTACTTGAAGTTAATAATTCACAGTGGAGAAAGGAGATATTCCCAAGGGCAGACTCTGAATTTCTGAGGAAAGTTATCCTTACCCACTGAAACCAGGTTGCTGAAATTCTCCAACATCACTTCTTTGTATAAATTCATCTGACCAGAGTCCAAGCATTCCCATTCCTCCTGAGAGAAGTCTATGGACACATCCCTGAACATCACTGACCCCTGAAACAACAAACATGCTTTCACAATGGAAAAAGAGAAGAAAAAGAGAGTAGTAGGGGAGGTAGAAAAACCTCTGCAGGAAAGAACACAGTAAGCAAATTGAAGGGGCTGGAACCTTTTTATATCAGTAGAAGACATAGCTCCTGGGCATAGAGGGAGTGTAGGGATGTGCAAACTAAGTGAATGTTTCCAATGATATCAAATAGAAAGCATTAAGCTCAATTAGTGAATTCTTTCTCTCTTCTCTTTTCCCTTTTTAAGCCCTAAGAAAGGGAACAATGTGATGGGATTTTAAACACATCTTACAATATATTTTGGAGAAAATTTTCAAAATATCAGGGGAAAACAGAATTTTCTAAGAGCTTCCAGGAAGAAAACACAGATCACACAAATTTTCAAGAATCAGAATGGCAACAGACTTCTCAATATTATCATTTGAAAGAAGAAAACAAAGCAATTCTTTTAATATCACAAAGGAAAATGAATTCTGGCCTAGAATTCTAGATTCAATCAAATTACTAAACTGGTGTGAATATTAAATCAAGATAATTCTATATCTGAAGGGAATGATAAAATCATCTCCAATGTAGTCTTTCTTCAGAAGCTACTAGATTAGGTGTTCTATCAAAAGTAGGGAGTAAATTAGGAAAAAGCAAAGTATTATATTCAGAAAGTGGAAAACTAGCATGAGAATGGTGAATAAAGGCCCAGTATAACTGTAAAATGCAAATCAGGACAACATCTGGTAGCAGACCTAGGGAGCAGAACAAAATAACAGAGGACTATAGGAAGGAGGTTCTCCAAAAAAAAAAAAATAGTATATTTGATCACATGGAAAATATTGACAGGCAACTGTCAAAACTGATAGAGATTTTGAAAAAAAATTGGCAACACATACATGAAACCAGGCAAATGAGAAAACAAGGCAAATTGCTCTCAGAAAAATACAAATTACACTAGAACTAATCCAGATTCTAGTGTAGTATTTGGCTCAAATTAACAATACCTACAAGGTCCTAATGATATGAATATCAATGATTTAAAGAAAATTTGTGATATGATTCTATTATAGGGACAAAAAAATGAAGACTGTGATACGGCAAATCTCAATCCACATTTACTTGCCAGGAAATCACTAGAAAATGTCTATCTAAAAAATTGCAATATAGGAATACTAGTTATAAATATAGGAATAATGCCAAGAGAAACAGCAGAGTGGAGGATACCCACTTCTGGGGAGTAGAAAAATGCCCTACCATTTTTCACAAGTTTTTTTTTTAAACATTTCTTGAATTTTTAAAATGCAAATTGGTTAAGCATTAAAATATCACTCTCTTTGGGTCAGGTACAGTGGGTCATGCCTGAAATCCCAGCACTTTGGGAGGCCGAGGTGGAAGGATGGCTTGAGCCCAGAAGTTTAAGACCAACCTGGGCAACATACTGAGACTTCGTCTCTACAAGAGAGGTTGAGGTTGTGGTGAGCCATGATGGTGCCACTGCACTCCAGCCAGGGCGAAAGAGTGAAACTCTAACTCATAAAAAAAAAAAAAAAAAAAAGAAAAGAAAAGAAAAGGAAACACTAGCCCTATTCTGAGTCCTCTATCCTAGTATGTACTCTCTAATTTTCAGATAAAACAATCAAATGGTGAACGGATAACCTTAAAATTTAGTGAGTCCCTATGATAAGAAGTGTTGCAACAGGGAAATTATAGGAGCCTATAATCAATTGATATTTGTTTATTGGGCCAGAATATTCCATAGAAGAAAATCAAAGCGGAAACCCAAACACACCTTGGATATTGCTTGTAGAAGTTCAACATGCATTCCTTCCTTCTCTGGGTGGCTCGCCTGGAGATCAGTAAAACTGGAAGAGGAAAGATTGTGAGACACCAAGATGTTTCTTGGTATCCAAACTAGTGAGGTCAGAGGTTATCCCCAGCCCCATCCCCATTACCCACCATACACAAAGAAAGAAGATCAGAGAATAATGGGGCACCCTGTTCAGTTTCAGTGTGTCAAGGAAAGGCTGAGTTCACTGCTGTCCAGGGCTAGAATCTGACAGACCTCAGAGAGGTTTCTTGGAGACAGAGACTCTGCAATCATATCCGCACAGTTGACAAGAATCCCAAGCCAACACACAGAGTGCCACATAACATTTCGATAGTCACAATGAAACCAAGGGGACACACACTTCATACCCGCACACACAGCAACAGGAGGCAACACAGTTACAATCACATACCCACTCTGAGACATAAAATTACATCTGCAGAGTCTCAGGCACCCCCCACAGGGACGCAGAGTCACAATCACATATCACCATGGGGGGACACAGTCACACCCTATGACGACAGACATCCCATGTTTACACCTAAAGCCGCAATATCATTATCACACAGACAATTCCAAAATATTCCCTCTCTCGGGCTGCTCGGCCCGCATAGCCCGAGGACGCAGCCACCCACCCGCCTTCAGTGTCCTCACCTAAGGCTTTTCGCTTCATCCCGAGTCGGAACCTGCAGACAGGAGTCGGTTCCCCCGGGGACCAAAATATCTCACCTCGCTGATCTAACGGTCCCGCCAGGCGTGACGAAACGTTCGAGTTTTGTCACGCGAGAAAAGCGACAGGCCTCCAGGTCTTCTGGGAAATGTGGTCCAGAGCGGGACCCACGCCGGCTCCTGTTAGCGCCGCGCCTGGGCCCACCCGAAGCGGCCGCGGCTGCAATTCTCAAAGCCCAGCCAAGGCCAAGAACCGTGGGTAGCGGTAGCGCGGCGCCCTGAAGCGGAGCCTCCCCTGCGGACCTGGCCGAGCCCCGACCCTCATACCGGAAGCGCAGACGGTACTCTGACCGGAAGTTGGTCGGGCCGCGGGGCCTTCTGGGAGGTGTGCTCTGGCACGTTGCGGGCGCTGAGGGATGGTTCGGCATTACCCGCGTGGGTCCGGGATCTGCCTGAGGGTCACCTTTCCCCCAGCGTCTCGGAATCTGCGCGCTGCTTGCGCGTTGGAGCGTTTCTGGCGGGTGACGCGGCCGAGTCCCCGCAGCGGGGGTTGGGGAAGGGACTCGAAAAGTCTGAACTGCACCGGGCTGAGGGTAGAAAGCCTCTTCGGCCCAGAGAACCTGGAGTAGCGGCCGAGGGGAGTGCTCAGAGTGTGAATTCGCTACTGGTGAGTGGTTGGAGTTGTTGGAACAGCATCAACAACAACAAAAACTGTGGTAGAAGCGTGTGTGTGTGTGTGTGTGTGTGTGTGTGTCGGCAGGAGTAACTGCTGGGATGATTGTGAGGCGTATAGGTTATAGTGATGGTGGTTGTGTGTGATTATCGTGAAGTGTGTGATATGTGTGATTGTGATTAAGGGTGTGGTGTGGTGTGAGTGAGCCTGGCGAAGTGTGCATCATTGTGGAATGTGTAGTGGATCTTGTCTTATTTGAGTCGACTTCTCAGTAGCATTTGGCATAGTTGGTAATTGCTTGGGGAAAAAAACAGTCCGTTGTTTTCTAGTGGTCCTCTCTACCCACTGGCCACCCCTTCTTAGTGCCCTTTGCTTTTTTTCCCCCCTCAACAGTCCTTGGCCCTGTTCTGTAGCTTTCCAGTTTTCCTTGGTGATTGTTTCTTTTATTATGTGTCTTGTTTAGCTTTTGCTTTGGTAATAATGACCCCCAACACACTGCCCCTAAATTCTGTGGCGTACAACAAAGCGTTTATTCTCATGGTCATGGGTTTACAGGTTCACCGTAAACTAGGTGAACCTGTATCTAGGCCAGGCATGGCTCAGTTGATGGATAGCTCAGATGCATTCAGATCTGCTCAGGCCAAAAGGATAGTAGTTACCAAGGCATGTTGATTTGATGGATCAACAGACCACAAGACAGGTCATGCAAACACCCTTAATACCTCTGCTCCCAAGTATACTAATATTACATGAGCTTGAACAAATCACGTGACTAAGCTTAATATCAATTACACCCACAGTTGGAGGTCAAGACCAAGTTACTTGGCAGAGTGTGAATGTGTAATTTTATTAGAAGGAGGTGAAGAATTGGAACCAAAATTCTAATCTACCTCATTAAGAAACATGTTCTTTATCCTGGTGAATGCCTTTTAACCCAAAGTCTCTTTTGTCTGATAATTTTTGTTATTGTATTTGTCAAGAATTTCACTTTCTAACTCTTTTATTTGTGTCTTTATATTTCAGGTCTATTTCTTGTAAAGAGCATATTGCTAAGCTTTTTACCCATTTATCCTGGTTGACTGTTACTTTAATAGGTGAGTTTAATTTTGTTGTGATTATTATGATTGCTGACCAATTTTGTTGTGATTATTATGATTGCTGACCAAAATGTTTTCTTTTGTGTTGTGATTTTTAAAAATTTTTTTTGCTCTATTATAGTTGTACATATTATGCCTTTTAAAAAAAAAAACTGTGCAGGTTTACCTTATCCCTTTTTCTCTCTCCCCTGTTTTGTTTTCTGTTCTTGTCCTTGAATTTTTATCATGTATGCTTATCAAAACTCAAACCTTAATTAAGACTAAAACACTTGAACTTCATACAGTCTATCGATTTCTATTATTCTTGTCTGATGTATTACATTCTTACAGTTTTACATACCCACATTAGTAGCAGTAGTAGTATCTCATTTATTTTATATACAGTTTTCACTTGGTATCTGGGGAGGGGGATTGGTTCCAGAACTGCCCCCTCCACAGATACCAAAATCCACAGATTCTCAAGTCCCTCATATTAATTGTATAGTATTTGTATATAACCTGTGCTTATCCTCTCATATACTTTAAATCATCTCTAGATTACTTGTAGTACCTAATACAATGTAAATGCTATTGAAATAGTAGTTATACTATATTGTTTAGGGAATAATAATAAGAAAAATCATTTGTGTATATATATATATTCAGTATAGAAACAGTCATTGTAGGTCTAAATACATTTTTGACTCAAGGTTGGTTGAATATGAGGATGTGGAACCTGTGGATATGGAGGGCCAACTCTGTGTGTGTGTGTGTGTGTGTGTGTGTGTGTGTGTATGTGTGTGTGTGTGTGTGTGTTTAATTGGAGTAAAATACACAACATACAATTTGTCATCTTAACTGTATTCAAGTGTACAGTGCAGTGGCATTCAGTACATTCACATTATTATGATACCATATTCCCCCATCCATCTACAGAACTCTTTTTATCTTGTAAAACAGAAACTTGGTACCTATTTAACCCTCTATTACCCCTTTCCCCAGCTCCTGACAACCACTGTTCTATTTTTGGTGTCTATGAATTTGACTATTCTACGTACCTCGTATAAACAGAATCATACAGAATTTGTCCATTTGTGACTGGTTTAACTTAGTATAATGGCCGCAGGATTCATCCATGTTATGTGTTGGAATTTTCTGCCTTTTTTAAGGTGAATAGTATTGCATATGCTGTATATGGATAAGCATTTTATCAATTCATCCATCAGTAGATATTTGGTCTGCTTTGACCTTTTGGCTATTGTGGATAACACTGCTATAAACATAGGTGTACAAATATTTGAGTCCTTTCTTTCAATTCTTTTGGGTTTATACTCAAAAGTGGAATTTCTGGATCATGTGGTCATTCTCTTTTTAATATTTTAACCACTGTACAGTTTCCATAGTGACTACACCATTTTATCCACATATTTTTTTGAGCAGTTACTATTAGTATCAAAACCAGGCAAATATAAATGTTTTCATGGGTTTATATTGATGTGTGAATTGATGGTGTATATATGATAACTAGATTACAATCATGTGCCACATAATGGCATTTCTGTCAATGATGGACCACATACATATGTGATGGTAGTGCTATAATATTATAATAGAGCTGAAAAATTCTTGTTACCTAGTGACTTCCAAGCCTTGTGACATCATAGTGCAACACCTTACTCTGGTGTTTGTGCTGATGCTGGTATAAACAAACCTACTGCACTGCCAGTCATATAAAAGTATATAACATAAAATTATGTACAGCACATAGTTCTTGATAATGATAATGACTATGTTATTGGTTTATGCATTTACTATACTTTTATCATTATTTTAGAGTGTATTCCTACTTCTAAAAAAGTTAACTGTAAAAACAGCTTCAAATCCCTCAGGAGATATTCCAGAGAAGGACATTGTTGTCATAGAATATGACAGCTCTATGCATGTTATTATCCCTGAAGACCTTCCAATGGAACAAGATGTGAAGGTGAAAGACATTGATACTGATGATCCTGATGCTGTGTAGACCTAGGCTAATGTGTGTTTTTGTGTCTTAGTTTTTAGCAAAATTAAAAATTTTTTTTTTAAGTTTTAAATAGAAGAAAATGTTTCTGTACAGCTGTACAGTGTGTGTTTTAAGCTAAGTGTTACTACAAGAGTCAAAAAGTTAAAAACATTAAAAAGCTTATAAAGTAAAACAGTTACAGTAAGCTAAAGTTAATATATTATTGAAGAAAATGATGTTTTTATAAATTCAGTGAGAGTTAAAGGTACAGTGCACATAAAGTCTACAGTAGTATACAGTAATGTCCTAGGACTTCACATTCACTCACCACTCACTCATCCAGAGCAACTTCCAGTCTTGCAAGCTCCGTTTATGGTAAGTGTCCTATACTACACAGGTGTACCGTTTTTTAATCTTTCATACCATATTTTTACAGTATCTTTTCTGTGTTTAGATATGTTTAGATACACCCATTATGTTACAGTTGCCAACGGTATTTTGTGTAGTTACATACTGTGTAGGTTCATAGCCTAGAAACACTAGGTAGTGCCACATAACCTGGGCGTGTAGCAGGCCATACAGTCTAGGTTTGTGTAAGTACCCTCTCATGTTCGCACAATGACGAAATCACCTAGTGACGCATTTCTCAGAACATGTTCCTGTCGTTAAGGAATGAATGTATATAGTTTGTTAGAAGGTGATAATTGGAATTTTTTAAATTGTAATTATTTGAAGGGTATTAGGAGTATATACCAAGCGTGGCACTTTCCAAGTTTACTATCACTGAATGTTTTCTGTTTTATTATATCAGCTCTATTATTATAGGGCAAATATTAGTCTACTTTCTTAGGTATTTTTTTAACCTTGTACCTAGTAATTTTTCATAGCAAATGATAAATTAATATATATACTTAATAGCCATTTCATTTATTATTCCAATATCATTGTGAAATCAGTATTGTTCTGTTTTCAAATGAAGAATCTTGGAATTATAAATTATAACACACTATTATTTCAATTGCCAAAGTGACTCAGAAGTGGAATGGAGTAGCGGACTTTTAATGAAACTCCCTTTTACTTCAAATATGGGATTTCTGCAAATCTGAGTGTTTTTTGACTCACCTGTATATCTGTCACTGCATTGGGCCTTTTTACACATAGAGGATATTTGACGAGCAGATAGGTGAGCATCACATTGTTTCTAGACCCCTGATATCTCTGTCGAGCACTTAGTTCAGCTTGGGTTGCTGAGTCTTTGAGTTGTCCTCCATAGTCTTACTGGTCTCTACTTCCAGCATTTCTAGCCAGTGACTCTAGACAGTGTGAATTACAAGCAAGGAAAATTAATGTTTGGGACAGTATCAGTTATCTTTTACCGTATAACAAATTGCCTCAAAGCTTAGTGGCTTAAACAATAAACATTCATTACCTCACAGGTGCTGTGGGGAATGACTTAGTTATTTTGGCTTGGGTGTCTCATGAAGTTGTAGTCAAGATGTCAGCAGGGCTGTAGTCATTGTAAGGCTGGAGTAGGACTGGAGGATTTGCTTCCAAGATGACTGGCAAGTTAGTGTTAGCTATCTACAGAAAGCCTTTCCCCAGGGCTGGTTGAATATAATCATGGTATGGCAGCTGGCCTCCCTCAAAGTACATGATCCAAAATGTGCAAGATACACCATTGTGTTACAGTTGCCAACAGTATTTTGTTTAGTAAATGTGTCTTTTATGACCTAGCTTTGAAAGTTATACAGCATAATTTTTGCAATAGTCTATTGGTTATACAGGCGAAACCTATTCAGTGTGGGAGGGGTCTACAAAAGACATGAATACCAAAAGACAGTGATTTTGGGGGCATCTTGGATGTTGGTTACCACAGTGATGCTGTGAGAAGGCATCAGGTAATTTGGATTTTTATCTTAATTTGCAGGTCCTGGCTCCACAAGGATAAAACAGATCTGTGGTGTGAGTAGAAAGAAACCTGAGGAACATGTATTTGTCATAGAAGGAGACATCGTGACCTGAAACCTGCCTCAGAAGCTGGAGAGTCCTGGGAAAGAGTAGACCCTGGAGTTGCTGACCCTGCAGCCTGTCTTGACTCTTTTGCCCACAGTGGGCAAGATCCGAATGATGTCTCAACCTTCAGATATCAGTAATAGCCGTGTGGCAATGGAGAATTTGACTCCGAAGATGGAAAGGAGAGGTGAGGAGGTTCAGAGGTGGCCAGAGCTTAGGGGAGAGAGGTGCATTCAGGGACCATGTAAAGAATTAGAAATTTAGTACTTGTACTGATTAGGCAGGGTAGACATTTGTTTTTTTATTTTATTCACTTGACTATTTTATTTTTTACAGTAAAATGTTAAGTGTAATTTCTATATTTTTATTTTTTTTTATTTATTTATTTTTTTGAGTTGGAGTCTCACTCTGTCGCCCAGACTGGAGTGCAGTGGCCGCTCCCGGCCACCGCAGCCTCGACATGCTATTTTTAAAGGAATACATTTAAATATATTTTTAAATGCTGTTATATAACCGCAATCAAAAGTTTTCTATTCCATCCTTCTTCATCCCCTATTTCCTTTCCCCAGAGGTAAGGACTTTGAACATTTTTGTCAAAGTATTCAACTGTATTTTTCTGAATAACATCCTTATAGTACTAATGCTTAATTTCTCAGTTTTAGATAACTTTCTATTGATTTTTCACAATAAAGATAAAGATTTAGCACTCTTTCACTACCTAACCACTTCCTTGTCACCTCCACCCTAACACACTCTTCTCTTTGCCCTTCTTTCAAGGTTGGCCAAATTGCAGGATCTATAGGCATTTGTCAGTTTCCCCAGCAGGAAGTCCTAAATTTTGCTTGAGAGATATAAGCCGTAACTTAACTTTTTTGGGAAGCAAACAAAGGAAGTGAGTGAGTGGGGAAGGGGGACATTTCATGTTGCAATATGAGAACATCCATAATTCTTCTTTCTCTATTTGCTTCTGTCTCACCTTTATCTGGCTCTTTTACGTCTGAAATCTAGATCCTGTCTCATTGGCTATATCTAGAGAAAAAATCTTTAATTTTTTTCTGTTACTAGTGTGAGGGAAATGTTGCCATGCTATGTGGGGTGAAAGAAGACATCAGGTGGTCATAACATCTTTTTATAACATAATCGGTTCTCTGGTTTTCAGCCCTACTCCTAAATTCCCATCCACATAAGTACCTAGTACTTCCATTCCTGAGCCTTTCTAGAGTCCTGCCAAGGCTCCCCCATCCTCACTTAAGCTTCAGCTTTTTCTAGTTAAGTTAGATACCTCTCATGTGTCTGCTCTGTAGCTTCCCAAATTTTGTTGACATCTCTTAGCTGCTATATTCTTTGTCTTCTATATTCTTTGTCATTGTGAGTTTTAGCTTACTTTGTTCCTTTACTAATATTGTGGTTGGGTTTGGGAGGGACCAGAAATAAATACAAGTATTCAGTCTTCCATTTTTAACCAGAAAGCCCTGAATTTTTTAGTGCAAAAAATCAGGTTTCCAAAAAAATGTCATTAGCATTATTACTATGTTTCTTTCTATCATATGAGTATTCCACGTTGTCTGTAACCAATCTCTGATCATGAGTTTTTTCTAAATTTTTTATGATAAGCAATAACATTTTAAAGGCCATCCTAACACTTAAATTATTATCTATTGTTATGTATTTAAGATAAATTTCCTATTAGGAATAAAACAGTAAGATTCTAGAGAAATACTCTACTGCCAATAGATTCATTGGGCACTCTCTACTTAGACCTCTAGAAATCCCCATCAGACCCTGTATGATTAAATCAGCCACCTGTGTACATTTCAGTGTCTCTATAATGTTGGTTATCATTTCTTGTTGCTCCGAGGATCATTCATCTGTTGGAGGTCTTATAGCCATCTGGTAACAAAGATTTTTGTATTCCTTTATCTGGAACTCTGAAGCAAATCTGTTTTGTTTCTTTTCCCTCAGCTTGGCGTTCTTGGGACTCTGCCCATTCCAAGGAAGAGGAGGATACCACCAGGTCTTTTGTACGTTCTAAGCACTGATTTGTTTCCTTCGTTATTTTGCAGTGCAGTTGCAGTGAGTGACTGTAACCTACCAGCAAGTTTGAAAAATTAAATTGTTGAAAATCAAAGTGAGGAGACACACAGAAAATCAGAACTAGGGGAAATTTGGGATATAGCTGTGCAGAAGCAGGTACATACAGAATTATTAACATTGGGTTCAAATTTTAATATGAACTGGAGAATCAAAGCAAACTGGGACATAAAGTTTATTCCATTATCTGTACTCTTTATGATGAAAAAAATTATTTAAGGAAAGAAAAAGCTTTTCATTGGCATCTAGGTCAAAAAGAAATTCTAAAATGCAGTCAGGCTTCCATATGCATGGGTTTCACATCTGTGGATTCCACCAACTGTGAATCAAAATGTAAAAACAAAAACTACTGAAAGTGTACATACTTTATTTTCTTGTACTGAACATGTACAGACTTTTTTCTCGTAATTATTCCGTAAGTAATACAGAATAACAACTATTTGTATGGCATTTACATTGTATTAGGTATTATGAGTAATCTAGAGATGACTTAAAGTATACAGGAGGATATGTGTCAATTATATGCAAATACTGCACCATTTAATATAAGGGACTTGAGCATCTGTGCATTTAGGTATCTTTGGGGAGTCCTAGACAAATATCCTTGGGATACCAAGGGACACATGTAATTCCATCATTCTTTTTTTTTTCATTAATCAGTATTTTTTATTATGGTTTTGTGGGGTACAGTTAAGGGTTAGGTGTACAATGACGTTTCATTCAGCA